ACGTTGATAAGCATTATTCATTTCTTTCATCTTAATTTTCAGTTTGCCACACAGTGAGGATCGAATTAACTACACAGCGGTAATGATCAAATAAACGTACATGTTAACCGTTACCACACGCAAAGTTACCATCCAGTGAGGATCGAAATTACTACTCGACTATAATGATCCACAACAGTATCTTGCCGAGATTCAACCCGGTGAGGATCGAACTCACTACTCAGCAATCGTAGTCAATTATAGTGATTTTCAAGCATAGCTTAGATGTGGCACAAGACCGAAAGTAGGGGCACCCAGTGAGGATCGAACTCACTACTTAGTCGGAATTCTTCTAGTGAGACAAGCTTGCTAACCCTTACACCGCCTCGGGGTGCCCTAACAATTTCCCAAGCGTAGCTCAGATGTGGCATAAGGCCGAATGTATGGGTCACCCAGTGAGGATCGAACTCACTACTCAGTCAAATATAGGGATTTTCAAGCCTAGCTTAGATGTGGCACAAGGTCAAAAGTATGGAGCACCCAGTGAGGATCGAATTCACTAATCAGTCGTAATTGTTCTAACAAGACAAAGCTTTCTAACCATTACACCACGTCGAGGTGCCCAAGTGATTTGCAGGGCTTAGATGTGACACAAGGCCGAAAGTATGGAGCACCAGTAAGGATCGAACTCACTATTCATTCGTGATTATTCTAGCGAGACAAGCTTGCTAACCATTACACCTCCTCGAGGTGCCCTGCAATAGTCAATTATATTAGATTACTAAGAATCACCCCAAAGGTCAAAGATGCCCAGTGAGAATCAATGTCACTACACAGTTGTAACGATTAACCTGATTAGTTCGCTAACAATTAAGCCACACTGAGCGAAACATGCTGATACTTGGATTTTTTTGCGGGGTGGGGGCGAAATCATCGTTTTCTTTTTCTTTTTGTTTGTTTGTTTTTTTCATTTGTTTTTTTTGGGAGGGGATTCGCAATCAAATAAAAAATAAAAATAAATATATCTAATATCCCCACCCATCGCTTTCTACTGGCTTGAACTGCATCGATTTGAAAACAGACCAAGATTCCAAATTTAAATCGCGAACGTGACTATATTCGGTTGAATTCCTGTGAATTCTTCATTGATTTCGCGTTTCTTGAACTCAGCTCAAACAGCAGGAAGCTTTTTAAATAATGCGCAACTGAAAAACATCTAAGAAGTCTTGCAGTCTTCGTTTCAACGGCATTCCTCTGACAGCTGTAAAAGGTTCTATCGCATCAGATAGTTGTAGTATCGCAAAGGAAAATACTGAACATCTATTTGAAAACTGCAAATATTATTTAAACAGTGACTCGTATTAATTAATAGCAATTGACAATGCTTCATCTACGGAATTCGAGCACTACCGTAATTCCCAATGTATAATACGCCTTCTTCCATAATACCTAATAATTGTGGGAAAATGCTTCTATTCACCCCTTGTTTGGTGATATGTCCCGGAAAGTGATATATTTGTTCGAAGTAGCAAAGTGGTTTTGGACTACTGTAACCAGGTAAGACAATCTAGCAGGTAACCGTAATGGACTGGTCCTCGTCGTAGTGGTAGGCAATAGGCATAGGCAATAGGCGTAGACCATGTACCTCCACATCAGTCTGTATTTATGGCTGACACCAGCCAATCATATTACTGTGAGGGGGGAACCCAGGTGTATGCATATTCATTACATCACAAACCTTCACCTTTCTTGGCAGATCTTCTATTATCACGATGTGAGACCGTCTTAAATGACATCCGCGTCCTGGGTAAGACGATAAACTACGTCCAGCAGCAAGGCCAATGATCAGGAGGTTTTGAAAAGCGTGGAACCACCTCTTAATGTTCCGGGATATATTTGTTGGAAGTAGCAAAGTAGTTATTGACTACTGTAACCAAGTAGGACAATCTAGCAGGTAACCGTAATGGATTGGTCCTCGTCGTAGTGGTAGGCAATAGGCGTCGACCATGTACCTCCACATCAGTCTGTATTTATGGCTGACACCAGCCAATCATATTACTGTGAGGGGGAAGCCAGGTATATGCATATTCATTACATCATTTGGTAATCAAACCCTATAAATTGTACCTCTCCCATTTCATTACGGCCAGCGTTTCCTACGCTTATTCAAGCTGTAATTGAAGATATTTATCAAAATTTTCGATCATCACGATTCTAAAAGGAAACGGAAATACATATATTGTGCTTACTGCGCAGACTCATTAACCTGTTTTTGTTCGTTAAAAAATGTAATCTACCGGATCTGTATGTAGTTTTTCACAAAAAATGGTTTTAAACACAGAATAATATTATTCTAATTTAGTTTTATGATAATTCTTATTTTATTTTATATTTGTAAATATTGTTAGGTACATATGATTGTATATGACATCCTTATGGGGTCGCAATCACTGAATGTTAGTGTCAAATTGTCATATGTTTGTGGTGAGTAATCATTTTGCAAATGAAATTGACCTATGCAACGGCAATTCTTTCAAGATTTTTTGTAGCTGTGCATAATACGCACCCCTAATTTTCCTTATTATTTTTTAAGAAATTATACATGAGGAATTACAGTAGTTTATCAAACGAGAATATTTCTCTGACTCATTAAAAGATTAATTGACAACAAGTAACGTTTACATCCACGAAAAAATACATTCTTTAACCATCATTGCTTCTAAGAATTTGTTTTCTTTCATCTTAAAAAATTAATGGAGTTAAAGAATTTTTCATTTAATAGTTAAACAAAATCTAGGTAATATTACTACTAATACGACTAATGTAATAAAAGGAAACTAAAATTAGTATGAAAGAAATACTAGTAAAAATTAGTAATGGTTAACAACGTTTCCGCTTGTTATGTTTTGCATACTTCTCTGCGTAATAGTAGTCTTAGTATCGTTCTCTGAGTCCTGAATAGCAATTGGGTTTGCTAGGCATAGCCAACCTATGTTTGCCAATTTTTTTTTTTTTTTTTTTTAAGCATTTCACCCCAAGCAAGGCAGGAAGCCACTAGGACGCAAGGGGTTACAGAAAATTTATAGCAAGATCAGATAGGAGTGATAGAAGAAAGGATGTAGATAGATCAAGGCAACTGGAGATGTCGATTGACATTACACTTGAATAACTGAGATTATAGCTCACAGGGAAACAGGAGAAGGGAAGGGGTTCCACAGGCGAGAGGTGCGAGACATGTAGTAAAAGAGACGGCTACATTTAGGAGTTTCGACAGTGAAGGGGTGAGAGCGGGATGCCAGCCTCGTAGGGCGCTTGAACTCATGAAGTCTGGGAACCAGTGAATGCAGCTCCTCGGAGCAATTTCCATGAAAGTATTTGTAGAACAGACAGAGGGAGGCGACGGCGCGTCCGTGAGAAAGTGACTGTAGACGAGACGCCAGGGCAGAGCCAACCATATTGCATATCCGCTTCTGGAACCTATCAAGAACCCCGAGGCAAACAGAAGGGGCTCCAGACCATATATGGCAGCAATACTCCAAGCAATTTGTTGGCTATTTATGCTTGTCTATCTAATTTGCATACGTTACTACACCCCTAATAATAAAATTCAAGACAATATTATTCCTAATACTATTAGCGTAATAAAAAGCCAGGGAAATTAAGATGAAAGCCCAATTCGTCAAAATAGAAATTCTGAAAAGTGTTTTAGAAAAAGAAAAATGAATTTGGCTAGATAAAAAAAAATTCTAAAAATACCAACACCCCTCTGTCGTGCACATGTGTAGTTCTACCAATTATAACAAATTTTAGTCCGATGAAATCCTGAAGGGCGAAACGCGTCACACGTAAACTTTTTTCACTTTGTTATACAGTTTCCCCATGTAAAACTCTTCGATAAAACTGGCGTGTTTATCTAAGAAATAAATACGCTTAAATGCACCTTCATCCGTGCCGGCTTAGGGGTAGATGCAACGACTGACGCCAATTCAGCCGGGTTTCGATCCTAGCTAAAAGATATCACACTGATGAGCTATGATACAGTGAAATCACTGATGAGCTATGATACAGCGAAACCACACTGATGAGTATGATGCTGCGAAATCACACTATATATATATATATATATATTTAATTCATTCATCGAGTCCGATAGAAACCTCCACAGAATGCAGGAAGCACTGGACGACCGTTTCGTCCTATATTTGGGACTCATCAGCAGTGCGCATCCACTACCGAGAATTGAAACTCGAACATCATACCAACTGTTCCAAATGGGCCTCGGTCACGAAGAAATTGCAAATCAGACTAAATATGGCGCCGCTCGCTCACATATTCCGTGGCGGAACTCAACTGAGCTCTCTGTAACCATAGGACTGTGCCCCCGGGAGCCACGACTACTCTCACCAAGCCGCTCCAACTAGAGCATTAGAACTCGATGAATTAATTAAATATAATTATCAAATCCTCCCAATAATTACTGTTTGTATATATATATATATATATATATATATATATATATATATATATATATATATATATTATCTATCCTGGACATTGCGTTCTACCTGGATTCTATCCTTGGGAATTTATATATATATATATATATATATATATATATATATATATATATATATATATATATGCATATTGTCCACTAATATTATCTATTTCTCTCTCTCTCTCTCTCTCTCTCTCTCTCTCTCTCTTTCTATATATATATATATATATATATATATGAAGCTAAAAGACGCCCAATATATATATATGTGTGTGTGCGTTTGTGTGTGTGTGTGTGTGCGCGATCGCGCATGAGCGGGTTGTTGCGTGTATGTATTTAGCTACTCTAAGTTTGTCTTTGGTATTCACCCTGAGGATTATCTCCGAGGAGATCGAAAGTACTTGAATTAAAAAACAAAAAAAACTACGGCGCACTCCTTGATGAATTTCAACTTAACATCCAAAACTTAATTAGAGAACTTAAAAGTATTATTATAAAAATAAACAGACATAATATTTCCCTATTATTCAATAAAACACTTTTGGATAGATAGATAGATAGATAGATAGATAGATAGATAGATAGATAGATAGATAGATACGCTTAATCCGTAATTTCTTATGCACATTAGATAATATAGACAAGCGTTGTCTATTTATTTTATGTAAATTCTTTTCATATCGTCTGATAAGCTTAATAACATTATCATTGAAAGACGAAAGAAAATCACCTTATTGATACATAGTTTTATAATAAACAATATTAACAACATTTACCGGCCTGAATTATTAGATAGATAGATAGATAGATAGATAGATAGATAGATAGATAGATAAAGAAAGAAAGAAAGGAAGAATGAAAGAGAGAAAGAAAGAGACTGAGATAGATAGATAGATAGATAGATAGATAGATAGATAGATAGATAAGAGAAGAGACTGAGATAGATAGATAGATAGATAGATAGATAAAGAAAGAAAGAAAGAATGAAAGAAAGAGAGAAAGAAAGAGACTGAGATAGATAGATAGATAGATAGATAGATAGATAGATAGATAGATAGATAGATAGATAAGAGAAGAGACTGAGATAGATAAATAGATAGATAGATAGATAGATAGATAGATAGATATTAACAGAGTATGATAGATAGATAGATAGATAGATAGAAAGATAAAGAAAGAAAGAAAGAAAGAAAGAAGGAAACTGAGATAGATAGATAGAGAGAGAGAGAGAAAGAATGAAAGAAAGAGAGAAAGAATGAAAGAAAGAGACTGAGATAGATAGATAGATAGATAGATAGATAGATAGATAGATAGATATTAACAGACTATGATAGATAGATAGATAGATAGATAGATAGATAGATAGATAGATAGATAGATAGATAGAGTGAAAGAATGAAAGAAAGAGAGAAAGAAAGATTGAAAGAAAGAAAAAGACTGAGATAGATAGATAGATAGATAGATAGATAGATAGATAGATAGATATGATAGGTGACGTTAATAGACGCTCCCTTTGAAAAAGAACTGCACATAATTAAATTATTGCCATAATGTCTTGGGGGTGGTTGACTGACACCTACATTTTTGGATGTGTCTTCAAAGATCCTATAACGCATCAAGTTGTCATCCAGGATTCTTCAGGTATCGTTTCTTTCCGATTTTTTTATAATCGTTCCCATCTTTTTTTTTTTTTTTATTGATTTATACAATTTCTGTTGGAAAAGTAGGCTACTTTCTTTCTTGCAATAATAATCGGTCGAATGTTACCCAAAATCGATATCAAACTAGATCGGAGTGCGTGGAATCGCAGCTCAAATTTAAGGGCAGACTGAAAAAAAAAAATAAAATAAAATGAAAGAAAAAAAAATTCGTTATGTACACTGACGTGCCAAAAGTCATTGGTTTGGTGGCTGGTATCGCTTACGCGAGATGCAGCAACTCAGTATGGTATCGATCCCCCCCCCCGCAAGCAGAGCCGGAAACCCCTGGGGAGATATTGAGCTATATCGTTTCGATTTATAGATTGATAGATTTGTTGTTTTATTTACGGCTTATCAACCTTTTGCAGGTTATTTAAAGCCAGAAAGTATTTGGGGGATGTAAGTTTTTTTTTTAGATAAATGATTTCACTGATACAAATCCTACTAATTAACCTATGGTTGACCAGAGATGAGGGGGATTCATCCCTTTCCCAATGCTATTTGTGCGTAAATTAAGATTTTCTTTTTTTATTCCAAACAGATGCCTCGACGCCAAACATGTTTCCGTATTTGGAGCTTGTGTAAGTGTGGGGAATGGGTGATTGATTTGTTACTTTAAGGATTATCAACCTTTTGCAGGTTATTTAAAGCCAGAAAATGTTTTTAGATTGTATGATTTTTTGGGAGAGATAACGATTTTTACTGATTCAAAATCTACTAATTAATCCATAGTTGAGGGGAGTACAGATGGATTCATCCCTTTCCCAAGGCTATATTGTACGTAAGTGAAGACTTTTTTTTTGTCTTTTTTAAAATCCCACCATTGTGTCAAGGTCCACGTTCAACGTGTTTATGTTAATGTATCTGGAGTGTGCGCGTGTGTCTTCATGGATCAGGGAGGTCACGACAGTAAGAAGGATCATCCTTTCAAGTTAGAGCTAAATATACATTCTTATTGTTCAAACTAAATACCAATAGTGTTCTAAAAATTTCCGAGAATTCCAGTAAGATATCTTTAATCATTTATGAGATAAAACGATTAAAAGCTTAATGTAACAATTGGACAATTTCGCTTTTTTACAGGATTCGGACAATTTTGCTGTTACCCCCGGTATATATATATATATATATATATATATATATATATATATATATATGTTAGCAAAAGAAGAACGGTATGTATGTCTGCAAGTGTTCACACACACACACACACATAAATCAAGTATCGACCATCATAAAGACTGAAAAATAAAACTGACAAAGATTATTGTTTAAGGTTGACGGACACGCATGTCTTAATTAGTTTTTTTTTGTTTTTGTTTT